TGAGATCTGAGAGGACGATGCCCCGAAATGTTTACTTTCTTGTTTTATTGGCAAACAAATGGCAAATATTTTGCAGTTCTTAACTTAATTGGCAATCTAAGAAACTCAAACTGTCTTCGGTAGATTAATTTTCATTTAATTTATTCTTTTGAGTAAATATTTTACAAAATATATTTATTTACTGATGGGGGGAAATATTAAAAGTACAATTTGTTTTTAATACTATATATTTTTGATATATACTGAATAATTTTAAGGCAATGGAACAAACACTAGGTTATTCCTATTCGATTGAATTAATGAGTAACTAATAAGAGTTACATAATTATATAATATGCAGATAACTTTCACACTGCCCAAATTACTGATAATTTGAATGCTTAGTTAATTAGGAGTAGGTATAGATCATCCCTTCAAATAGTTTGATATCATTGAGGATTGTATAAACACCATCCACCCAATATCCTCCTAATCGATGTGGTAAATATAAACCAAGTGGAGCTGAGCATATTGGGCCAGCAAATATTTTAATTCGGAACAGTAAATTGCTTGCATATTTGGGGGACATTAGCCATGACCACGCCCACACATCGTCTGGAGAAAACAATATCCATAAATGTTAACAAGAAGCCGTCGGCCCACAAAACACAGAACTTAATGATGCCCAACAAGGAGAAGCCACTCGAGCCGAAAGTTGTGGGCCAGGACATTTAGCATGTGCCGGTGACAGGTGCTAAGGTGTCTGCAGGATTCGAATGCCATTTCTATCTGGCCATGGAATTAATTAGAAAACTGCGGTCGGGGTCCGGGCTTTTCCTTTCCCATGTCCTTCAGAACATTCGGCAGCAAATTTAATTTGCGGTTACCTCAGCAGGCGCAAGGACACAAAAGCAGACAGGCATTTAAATTTGCTGGTGAAAATCTCAGGAAATTCCTTGATTAAATCTCCTCCGTTTGTGGAAGGGGGTATGAGGAAACTGTGATTGATTAACGTGTGTGTCGAATCGAAAGTGTTCAGCACAAAGTGAGTGCAGACATGTAGCCTTATATCCTTATCCTTCAGCAGCAACAAAAGTCAAACTTCGTCTCATTGCCAGCCTTTATGGGGAATGACTGATTGTCCCTGGCCCTCGTCTGTATAGCCAGGATCCCCTTTTTTATATCCATAACTGAGCAGCCGGGCGACACGTTTGCCCATGAAAAATCGTTCCAGCGAATCTTGTTATAAAACATGTGCTTAAATAATAGCATCCGAAGTGAAGTGTTTGACTGGGCTCCGCGTCGTGTAACAGATTGCCAATCCACTCCGGCAAACAGGGTTAAGATTAATTTGTTTGCCCCTTGATGGGTGATGTCCTTGCGCCGAGTTGATGGAAATCAAAATTGAATTGAAGCGGGAGTCAATGTCCCACGGGGCCAAGGACACGCTTTACAGTAAAGGTTAAGGTAAACAGGATTAAAATATAAAGTGTTTTTCATGCAAATGATTTTAAATTCTAAATTTAAAAATATATTTTGGGATTTTATAAACCAATGTTAGTGAATGTTATGAATAGAATTAGTAAGAGATGTATGTTAACGTAAATGAAATGGTTTATCACAATGTAAAATTATTTAAAATACAGCCGAAATAATTCCAAAGAATATCTTCCAGATTGCCCCATTGTTATCAATGCCTTGAGCAATTGTATGTGCCACACTACTCAATCACAAACACACAGTGACTATGAAAAGTATGCGCATAACTCAGACGCCGCCATTTGCATGCTTCAAGTGTTCACAAATAGGATTCGGACTTGGATTTTTCCGCATTGCATAAATTCCCTTTGCGCCAGCTTGACGAGGGGAAACTTTTTGCAACATTTTATCAGATTATGAAACACACAAAATGCAACTTCCCGTGCTGGGGATATGCCATAAGAAGAAAGAAAAATATAACTCGAATGTGTTCTTACCGTACCCACATATTTTGCAAAGTAAGCGGAAACATTAAAATTGTATTTGTAAGCCAAAGCCGCGGGAGCTGAGGGGCTCGAAAACTAAGGCACAACAATAGTGAATCTAGGGGAGCCACCTTTGTGCACCTTACAAACTAAAAGTCCTCTGAAAATAGCTCAAGTTTGAAGGGGAAACTTATAAAAAAAATTTAAGAAAGTAGTGCTCGTAAATATTTTAGAATACTGAAAGAAATCATTTTATATTACAAATCAAATCGTACAAATTCTCCCCATTTATTTGTAGATTCAATCAATAATTAAACACTCAACTAGGCGTTCTTCATTATGAGTAATAAAGGTATAAACACCTTTTCATGAAAACGGATATCATATGTTAATCCTTTAATCCCAAATAGCAACTTAATAGCACGAGCGGAGAAATCGCTTTCCCAAAATATTTTGTCCTAAGCGAGCTAAGCGTGCTTTTAGTTTTTCCAGAATAGAGCAGTAAAGAACACAGGCGGTACAACAAACAAAAGCTGCACGCGAAAATCGCATCAGCAATTTGTAAAGGATAGAAAATTTAAGAAAGAAAAAGAAATCATTTTTTTTAAGGCCACAAAAATACTGATGATTTTTGTTAGTGCGATCAGTGACCGCGATATGGCCGCATTTCCTTATCAATCTCTATTAAACGAAGCTTTAGAAAGCAGCATTTGAATTCGAACTGGTGCACTTGCGGTGTTGAAGATGCAAACTCTTGTCTGTGGCGCCGGGCAAAAAGCCATGACAAATGGCCAACAGGATGCATATTTATGATTGCACACACTCCTCTCGAAATGTTGACCACACTCAAGGGCAGGCTAAAATGCTGCCGTTGTTGTTGCAGCCACTTTGGCAGTACTCGGGTAAAATGCCAGCACAAACTTTATACGCACGTAGTCAATTACTCACACCAAGTTGGCTGGCAATACAGCACCACCAAAACCACCCAATCCAAACCACCCACCCACTCACACGGGCTTGCATAGAACACACATATTTGTATACCGACGTGTATTGTCATTTTCCATTTTGGCAGCTCGAAAAAAGTAAACAGAACGGAGCAGATAAATTAAACCCGTTCAAACTGATGTGGCCTTGTCATTCTATTCAACCTGCCAATATATTATCGGAATTATCACAGCACTTTCACCTGATTTCCATACTGGCTTGAAGTAAAATATTTAACAATTATCTTTTACGTTTCTTAATTGAAAAGAAAATAGAAAAAAGGCTACAATTATAATTTCAAATATGAAAGAGCAGGCTTTTCTTCTGCTAAATTTAAGTAATTATTCTAATATAACGAAATATAACGCAAATATTGTAATTACAAGAAGAATATGGAAACTAGGAAACTAGGAAAAAGGTATACCTAAATTAACAATAAATAAATAGGAACTTGCCTGAAATACTATGTCCAGACCGTTGCTTTAAAATCAATTTCAATGCACTTTTAACGAATATTCAATCGTTTCTCCTCCTATCCAAGAACTTAAATTCGGTTTACATGTACTCCCCACAGGATACACAAGAACAACTCAATAAATATTGTACAGGATATAAAATTGAAAGTATTGCCCAAGCCCATAAAACCAACAAAACTCTTAACATGCCCCCCGTCCTCGTTCTCCCATTGTCTTTCGATCTGAGCCTGGTTCGCTCTTTGTCTTAATTTCTTAAAAGGCCGAGACAATTACAATTGGAATTTATTTGGCATTGTGGTCAGCGCCGGAAAAGCAAAACTGGCAGCGATGTAGAGATGTCATGAGTTACTGTTAATTAGAAAATTGTTATTTAAAGGACTACAGTTTCGTTTCGAGGCTTAAAGTGTAAAATCGTGTTTGCTATAGATTGCTGAAATTTGAAGTTAACTGTCAATTAAATTTGAGTCACATTTATTATTCGGTATCGCCAAAAATTCACTTATAATTTATTAAAATTTAATTTCATCACTACATAAAGAAATATAAACATATTAGATATATGGCTCTTTTACGTACTTTAAATTTAATTTTTATTTATAATAAAAAAAAAGTATAACAAAAAAACAGAGCAGCGGAATAAGTAAGACTTGAACCCGTGAATTCGGATTTGGATTCGCATTAGATGACTGCACCACCGACAACGTTGCGCCCGCGGCAATTCGATGTAATGTTAAGTGTAGCATTCGCCGTTAATCTACAATTTCAGTAAAAACACAAACTACCAAGTTCTGCAAACAAACGGTAGGTGTCGCACAATAGGGGGTGTAGAATTCCTGTGTAAAATGACAGTAAAGTATACATTTTAAGGAATACCCCTGTTGAATTGAGAGTTTTTGAATATTTGACTAGATTTATTCAATATGAAGCACTTTTACTTCGAAGGTTAAAAAAAAATCAATTAATACCTGTTTTTAAAGTTCGAATGGGAATATCAATAGATAGAAGTGAAACAAATTCAATAGATAAAGCAACAGTTTATTTCTTGATAGAAAAATAAAATCATTAATACATAATCATTATACATATATATACGTTCCTGACAAAGCCAAGACCCTGGCCCAAATTTTGGGTCCTACAAGGCTAAGCAAAATCTTGATTTACAATTATATCGCTGACGCTTTTGACGTTTCCTTTGGGTCAGCTTATATGGCTTAAATGGTAGAAGCGAGGTGCTTGACTGTCCCACGAAAAAGGGGATTCCCTTAGCTTAGCTATGAATGTAACCAAAACCTGATTTTCTTAATACATTTCGCTGTCATTTTCCGTTCTACAAATACTCAAAATGCAGCAGCCGACTGAAGACGTTTGGAATTTACAATTACAATAACAACTACCTAGAGGTAAATGCTAAATAATTAATAAAATTATATCATTTAAGCTATGTGCTGTACTGTTTTGTTTCCGTTGCTCTAGTGATAAATTAGTCATAAATAGAAGCCCAGTGCAACTGAAATTTGGTCAACGTAAACCAACGTTATGGACTGTGATTTTGTTTTGGTCTAACAATCGGGGAGGCTACCTATTTACCCCAGGCTTAACTCCTAAGTGCTTCTCGCGGTCTTCTAATACACGACGGGATTAGGATCGCGGGGCTTTCGTGAATACTTTAGGCCGAGATCATCGGCGATCTCGTCTATCGCCTCTAAGGCAAAGTCCAGCTGCTCCTTTGTATGGGCGGCCGAGAGGCAGAAGCGGATGCGTCCTTCCATAATAGGCGTGGCCGGGAATCCAGCACCCACCGCGGCAATATGTCGGGTCGTCAAGGTGCGAACCACAGCGCTAAGAAGAAGCGAAAACATAATTCTGTAAGTTCAAGCTCCGCTTTCAAACATTTCATAACAAACTTACCCAATTTTTGAAAACAGGTAGACCAGCATGGGCACCACAGGAGAGTCCTCGTGACCGTATGTGATTACTCCCAGCTGAGCCAGACGGCGACGGAAGTAACGCGTGTTCCTGGCTAACTGATGGATCTTCTTACGGCCAATTTCAGTGCCATCTTCACCCATAATGGTCTTCATGGAGGTCAGGATCTGCTGGGCAATAGGCGGCGAGATTGAAGCAGCATAACAGTGGGCGTGGCTGTTAGTGCGTAGAAAGTCGATCAGTTTCTGGGGAGAAAAAATTAATTTAGTCAGAATTTCAATAGGAAAAAGATTATAACTTTACCTTTGATCCAGCGAGATAACCACCAGCACTGCCGAAACTCTTGGTGAAGGTACCCATCAGGATGTCTACCTCTTTGGGATCCACATTAAAGTAATCTGTAACACCTCGACCGCGAGAGCCCATGGCTCCAACACTGTGAGCTTCGTCGAGATACAAGTATGCCTTGTATTTCTTCTTCAAAGCAATAACTTCCGGCAAACGGACAATTGAACCTTCCATGCTGAAAATGCCCTCGACTAAGATCATGACCTTGTCCCAAGGCTGGCCACCCTTCTTAGGATTTCCATAGCAAACTCCTTGACGTAGAACCCGCTCCAAGTCTCGCATGTTGTTATGCTTGAACACCTTAGTGGTGGCTCCCGACAAGCGCAATCCCAGGATGATGGAGGCATGGTTCTTCTCATCACTGATAACCAGGCTATTGGGTCCCAGCAGAGAGGGAAGGTTCAAAGCATTCGTAGCGAAACCCATACCAAAGACAATAGCATCCTCCACACCAAAATATCTTGCAGTTTGGGCCTCCAGTTCTCGGAGCTGCTCGTTGTCACCCAGCTCACAGCGGGAGCTGCAGTAGGCCAAGCCTGATTCCCTAGCACTTTCCTCTGAATCATCAGCACATCGTCCAGTGGCGGCGGCAAATCCCAAGTAGTTATACGATCCCAGATTCAAACAGCGTGTCTCTGTTCCAGTAAACTTAAAGCTCCAGCCATAATCATCGGTCACTCGATCTTTCAGAGTTAGTTCCTCTCCCGGGACACTACAGATGGGTCTGTTCCAGCAATCCTTGATCCTCCGGTAAACGTATCTCGAGTAAAAGCTCTCGAAGGCATCATACAATGCCACATAACCCTCGCGACCCTTTTCTGTGGCCACTTTGGGCACGAAGAGTAGCTGGTTGATGTAGCCAAGGATCATCAGTAGATAGAATCCCAGGTACGTAAGGCAAGCCGTGTGCAGGGGCACCTCCTCGAAGGAGGTCTTTTGGAAGTGCTCGAGTTCTGGGGGCAGTTTGCCCTCCGCCTGATTGGGCTTGGATTCCTGATTCTGATCCCGCAGACCGGATGCATGACCATTGGAGATCGACTTATTTTCCGGATGGTAGTTAATCAAGCTGGGACTCTGTGAAAGGCGAAGAGATAAACTATTAGTGACCGGTTATCGTTGCTTATTGATTATTGATTACTTATATCGCTGGAAATCTACATAGCACTTATTGAATATCACTTATCAGGAGGAAGATAATCAGCGTTCCAGGTGGGTTTAGCTGAGGCCAACAGGTGCAAAAAATAATTAACTTTCAGGGAAATATAACTGCACTGAGAAGTAAGTACTTACTTAACTGAATCAGTTAAGAAATGATTTATTTTAAGTATATAGAAAGTTCAAAAAGCAATTAGACCGTACAGCTTTTAGGGTAATCATACTTCGTATTAACCATCTTATATTATATAAAATAGAGGCACCTCCTAAATCTCTGTTACTAAAGTGGGATCAGATTTCTCAGTATAACAGAATTGCGTGTCGTCGCGATTTCTTACTAGATCATAGAGTAACTTAACTTTCGTGCCCTTTCAAACCGTTCAGTCAATTCATCAGCCAATTAACATTAAACTAATGGGTCCATATATGCAAGGTGCCTACATATATAGTCACACTACAACTGAACGATGAACAATTTGCTCCACTGCTCACATGAGCCGAGTTCGGCATGAAGTCACATAGAGAGACAGGGGCAGAAAGCCACAAGAAGAAAGAGAGGGAAGTCGGGGAAGCCATATATGTACATCTATCTGAGTACAATTCCCCAAATTGGCACACTTCAACCTAGCTGGCCAACAAATAGAGCGTTATAATTATTTAATCGAGTGGACAAATCACTCGGTTATTGATTTTCCAGGCTAAAGGATCCGCCGATAGCAGACCATCTCCAGTTAATACAGCAATTCACTGATATAAAGCCATATATGTATATTTGAATGCCGACTTAATCGTATAACAATAACGAGTCGGCGACAATAATATTTCGTGTTTATTATCATTTGCCACCGGGCTTGTTTACCGAACATATAGGAGATGGAGTGCGGGGTGGGCAAGATCAAGTGGGTTACGCGCTGCTGAGTTTTTTAATGGACTGCATGGGTTAGGGTATATAGACGAACCCGAAGCGAACGGAGTAAATAGATAAAAATCGATGCCGGGTTGAGTAAATAAATAAAAAAAAAGTGTGTAATACTAATTACGCGATTGAGTGGACCAAAAGGAGGACAGGAAGGAAGGAACCAGGGGGGTGAGAACCAGATAATGACTTTCATATGGTTAGGATCCATGGAATCGCAGATAACGAACGACAATCGACCAGCGCATTCCACAGTTCCAGTGACTTTCGTGGGGATTCCAAGGAGCATTACTTGTGAGTCATTAGGTAATTAAATTGGAAGCGTTTATATTTTGAAATAGTTTCCCCTATAATTTGTACATATATCTTTTATAAAAGTCGCTATCTTAAGACGCATTCATGCTATAATCTGAGCATGCTGATAAAAATTCGCACGCGCAGTCATTCCAAAAACCACTGATAAAACTAATAAACATTCCCAATCAAGTGAACATATCCAAACTAAAACTGAAACTTAAACTTTCTCTTAATATAGTAAAAAAATGCTTGAACTGCATAAGGAAATTTAAATGGTATTTTACCGACGATGGTAAGTAAACTAAGGTATAAATTCTGCAGAAAATATCAAGTTTCCTTTCGAAGAATAAAAGCTCAAGTGGCGATAATGGAATATTGATTTATTCAACTTAATTATTCTACTTAGAAAAGTAAAGTTGAGTGACCTCTTCGTGGCTTGTATTTGATCAGTATTTAAGATTGTAATTAAAATTATATAAGAAAAAATATATAACAATTTTCTCTGACTTTATTTTTATCAAAAGTATAGCGTCTAAAAGTTTTTGTTGGCACCCCCAAACATTTTCACTCTCCCGAAAACTGAACAAATCTTATCACCGACAAATCAACGCCCACCCGAAAACCACAGCCTTCAGCGATTGTGGAAGCATTCTGATTCACCCCTGAATCGCATTCTACGAGGCTTTACGTAAAAGATTGGCCGGAATGGGCCTGATAAGGCCCGCCCGGCATGGCATGACAATATTATTACCAGACCACGGGCGCTTATGGGCGCTCTCCACAAATAATGTGCACCCAATTTATATACGAGTATATGTATTTGTTTTGGGGATGGACACTAACTGTTGGAAAAATTATGACCAAGTGCAGGAGTGCCGGAGAAGCGACAAAGCCTAGATTAGGTAGTGCTAATGGTAAAAAAAAGAGGTGACATACATTTATGTTAAATAAACATATGTAAATACAACTTCCTCAAGGTGAAAGTAGTCTTTTTCGATTGGGCTATGTCCTATATCCTAAAAGCACTATAAAATTCCCTTACAATAAAAAATAAATAAGCTAAATCACTATGGTGACTAATAAGTTTATCGTAATTGGATTTTTTTAAAATTTGATTATTCTACGTTTCATAAAGCTAAATAGACCCAAAAAGAAAGCCAAAAAGTGGGCAAAATATTTTATTTGGCCATCACTTGCGGCGAAAAGGAAAACACGCGAGGAAACACTGCATTGAAGGAAAACAGCTGTGGGATGACCCAGAAAAAGGAAAGTCGAGGAAATCGCCGCATCACAAATTAAGGCGAACTTCTCCAGCTGACGCACCCTCTCATGTTCCCTCTCACTCACACTTTCACAAAATCAATTATTCGCCGGCAGCAAGAGTGAGAGCGATATTGAAAAGAGAGAACCACATTTTTCGGCCAATTTAATGGCTTTTTGGCTTGTTATTTTGGTTTTAACCAGGTGCTTATTTTTTATTTCTTTTCTACACTGCTAAAATACACTTCTCACCTTGGCGTCGCTGGGCGTTTTTGCATGGCATCGCCGCGTGCGAATTTCAGTGTATGCGGGTGCCGAGAACTTCCGTTGGCTGAGAAGTTCCTGTTTTTCTGGGGGGCTGAAGTTGGCCGCCCCATTTCCATTCGCCACTTTTCCGTTTCCGTTTGTCGTCGCGTAGCTTTGCTCGAAAACCGTTTCAGAATCACCGTCGAAATTGCCCATGTTTTCGATCTTCGAACTCAGGTTAACACAAACGCGGCGAAGAATTTCTTGCGAATGCTTAAATAGTTTTTCCCAATTGGAATGATGTGACCAATTTCGGGGCGGCCAATAATACTATATTTTTTTTTCTTTTTAGAGTATTTTTGTGGGTTTTTTACGGTCACACGATGCGGTATTTTTCTACTCGAAAGCTTTAAGCGAATTCACTAACCTTGCTAGCCGATACACCCTCAATGGCACACCGGATACACCATCCTTACATAGCTGGGACGTAAGAACTGAGAAGGTATCGATAAGCAATCGATTTTTCAGCCATCTCTTATACGTTTTTTGTGTCATCTCAATTTTTGCTGTTAAGAAATTCCCGCGTTTTACTGAAAGAAATTTGTTTTGTGCTTAGAAATATTTATGGATTTATTGGCAATCGGGACTATCTTTACCATGCTAACTTACCCAGCCGACAATTGTGCAGCCCTCAGTGGATCGCCATCGGATGTAACAATTCGAAATGCCTGGGCATCCTAGCGGTCATGCACACGTCCGGTTGATAGGTCAACGGATTTGTATGCCCAAATAGATTCAATGTATGTACCTGTCTTCAATGTGTTTGACAATAGGTAGTGTTCATGTCGCTGAAATCCAAAGCCCGGATTGTGATTCTTTCCATTTTGCATCTCGGCGAAAACGCGGTTTCCATAGTTGGTCATAACGATGGTATCTCGTCCACCTCTTTAGAATAATTTAAATTAAATACCCAATCCTATGTACCAATCTGCTTTTGGGTTTTCCTCAGAAGAAAAATTTTATTTTCAAGGTTAAAACTTTTATGTTTCTTAGGTCCCAATATTGTAATCCTAAAGTTTACTCAGAGAAAATCTCTGCCTTGCCAACACATGAATAAATTGGCTTGAAATTCACAAAAAAAGAAGAGGAAAACAGAATTTCAGCCACAAATTATTCAGATAAAAGTGCGTAAAGCGGCAGTTGTAGTAAAATTCATGAGTTGCGAAGTGCGTTGACTTTTTTCCGCAAGGAGACACGTCTCGGCCAGTGGATTTCGCCTCTTAAATAGATGATTACCATTTTGCAGGCTTTTGTTTTTCATCGCTTTATATTGCGGAAGAATTTCGACTATTTTGTAAATTAATCCGGGTATGGGCGATGACACTATTCAAGGATTTTCAGAGCACATTTTGAAAACAAAACGTTGAACCCGCCTTTGGTTTCGATTTCATTATGCGACCCATCGCCAGTTGGGGTAAACAACAAGAAAAGGAAAAACAACTCTCAGTCTTCTAATTGAGTTGGAAACTCTCTGGCAGATGAAGCTTATGTAAAATGCCAACACGTTCCCCTGCAAAAGCTGCACCGATCGCCACATCGATATGCAAATGATTGCCAAATTGTCGTAGTCAGAGATGCCAAAAATTGCAACCGAATTTTGGCCCAAAGTGGGTGCTACTGTCAGGGCTGAAGCCCTTTGAGCTGCAGGCCCAGAAAGCGGGTCACATCGGGTCTCCATCTACCGATTGCCAATCGATGCCAGCGGCACCCTGAAAGCAAAAGGTTCCGGCGAAGGCAGTGGATCATATACCCTTTTTAGATACTTATCCGGAAGTTTTTTAAATTAGAGATATTATTTTAAACAGATTTGTACTTTAAAAGAGTATTTGTAACCGATAAAAAGTAAATATGAAAAACCTCAAAAAATGAATTTCCGCTTTCATTAAATAATTTTATTTGATACTTTAAATTTTGAAATATTTTCTTTATTGCACTTTACTTAATGTCATAACAATTTTTAAAGTTTCCTAAACCCAAACAAAATTTGTATTGTACCTCAAAGTTAACCAATTTCTGTCAAAGATTCTTAATGCTTATCTTGCAGATCTGATGGTGCAAATCGTTTTTGAATGCCACAAACCGTGTTGCTGTCTGCTATTTTGGGCTGCTAACTGCGATTTCGATTGTCTGAGTGTTTGGTGTTGCTGCTAGTTGTCGGTTGTTGTTTGTTGCAAGTTGCTAGTTGCTTGTTTGCAGTTTGCACTTTGACTGTTAAGTTTTTTGAGTGCGGAGTTCAAGTACACTCAGTTTCTCGGTCTTGACAAATATTTGGCAATGTGTAATCAAATCGATGGCTTTTATCTCACTTGCCACCTTTTTGTTCTTTACTTTTCGGGAAAATCCATTCTAATTAGCCACAGTTGGTTTAGTATTTTATTTATTATAACCCATTAGAAGTAAAGTTGATAAATTTATATGTTCGATAACCTAGATGCTTGTTGTTTCTAGCCATTAAACAACATACATATCTTAGCAAGCCCTTAGCAATATCTTATTGGCAACTTTCCTTAAAGTTTTTTTTTGCTCTTGTCCCATCAGTAACATTTTTGTAGCTCTTGCCCCGTTTTGCATAATTACGACTTGGTTGGCTTAATAAATAAGAAAAGTTCACAATTTCCATTGGGCCACGCAGGCGTTGCTCTAACAAGCATAAAAAACGCATTTGCATATGCATTTGTGCGTGCGTGGGTGTTCCAGTTGTTGTTGCTTTTGTTGCTATTGCATTTGCTGCAGCAGCCGATGAATCACGCGTGATATTTCGCAGTTGCAGTTGCAGTCTGTGAACTATGGTCTACCTTTGCTGCCGTATTATTCTCTTATTTATTTGTGCCTCCCCCTTGCCACTCCCCCAGGCTAATGAAATGGACTTTGCACTCCGCCAACGGGTTGACATTTTCATTATGGAAACTCTTTTATTTTTCCTTGTTGTGTGGACATGTTTTCTCGCTCTCCCTCGATTGCCACCGGCGTCGCAAACAGCACTTCAAAAAATCTCTATATTTTAGTTTGTTTACCCATTCTTAAATCATTAAATCACCTTTAATTTTATTAATATATATAAATATCAAAAATGTTAAAAACAAACATGAAAATTGTTAAAGATTTAATATTACTTTTATAAAAAAAAATTATTTCAGTGTTTACTGGGAGGGTTAAGGGGCGTGGTCAGCTATGGCAGTCACTCAAGCGATTTTCAATGCGTTGACAGTTCAGGTTGTCAATCGTTTTGTGTTGTCTAGTGTAGGTGTTACAGTTGTTGACTTGGCTGTGCCTTGCGATTAAGCTGTGAAGTGCAATTGAAGGCATTTCAATTGTTGATTGTCAAGACCCCAAAACATTAGCATAGGCTGAACAAATTGTCCATGAGAATGCGCCGAACTGTCAGGGGACCATTTAGATTGGTAGAACAAACAAGGGACACTTGGTTTACTGTTTATTTACTTAATGCTCATAACAAACTTATTAAATATGGGGCTATGTTAAAGTAGATTTTAGATTAGTGTTTTTTTTTTAAAGTGTTTTAATTGCAATCGAAACACTATTATTACGTAGTCTTGCTAACTATTTAGTGATCACAAATCTTACATAACATTACATTACCTCTAGTATCCCCAGAAATAGCACACAAAAAAATGTCCAACATCAAATTTCAATTATCGCAATGGCAAAGAGAAGCTGTCGGAGGGTAACATTCGACGACCCCAAACCAGAAAAAATAAAAGAAAAGCAAGCCAACTTAAACAAGTGTCTCAAACCGAAGAGAAGCAGCCGGAAAAATGCAAATTCACTTCGGCGGGCGGCGGCAACTGAACACCTAAATGGCAACGAGCTGCGATTTTCACATGGGCAATTAATGTTTCAATAAACGATATTCTAGCAGCAACAAATTTGTAGCAACAGCAACTGTTGCTGCTGCAAGAGCAACATCAAATGTTGCTCCTGCCGCCGTTTCATGTTGCATCAACACCGAAAACACTCGCCGCGAATGGAAAATGTTATTGAAATTGGCTTTTTATGTTTATGAAAACGGCCAGCTGAACTGCTGGCAGTTTGGGGGAAATGAAAATCCCCCGCAGCCGCAGCTCGGATTCCCATTTCCATTCCGAATCCGATTTCCACTCTCGTTAATTACTGCCATTTTCCATCGTATTTATGCTCACGCCTCGCTCACGTTTTGGCCATCAGCGAACACTCGGCGAACATCGCGAACGCGTGCAGTGCGTGAAAATGTTTGCTAATTGCCCCGTTTATAGCCAATTTTCGCTACATTTGTGGGCGGCCAAACATGTAGAAGGGGTGGGATGGCGAAATCAAACACAAATTATGTTATTGTTCTAGTAAAATCCTGTTGCCAAGATTCCCCAGCGGAGACTTGGAGTTTTGTGGATTTGTGAATAGATTTTCCAAAGAAGGAAATATGATCTGGTATGTGTTTCTTTTGAAAAACTAGCAAGTTCTACATTAATACATTAAGTACATCAGTGCTTGCAATTATTGCTTTTTCAGTATAAAAACTTTTTATTAAAATGTCAGCTCTTGTGACCATGGGAAGCACACATTCCGCTGGCAACCCAAATTCTTTGGTTGCCTGCCTGCAGTTGGAAAATCTTCATGCACCGGCAGCAGTTTGTGGTGGATCACAATTAAGTTGTCTGCCCTTCCGAAGGCAACCTGTGTGATGGCGGCAAGGCTGCCGAAAAAAGCGCAACAATCTATAACTATTTATATGGCCCGCCGCATTCCAAGAGCTCCCAGAGCTCTCGGCCTGCCACATGCAAATCTGCAGTCCCTTTTGTGGGCCACAAACCGGCACTTAGCCTGGCTTTGATTTGAAGTTCGTGTCCCTATGCGAACTCTGGCAGACTGACAAACTGACTGGCTAACACCTTGGACCGCTCAAGTCGTTCCCCAGTTGCATTGGCACAGAGAGAGAAAAATTGTGTATTAATAGTTTTAATAAGTGTTATTTTCAGCAAGATTAAGTTTAAGAGTTTAAAAAAAAAATCTTCTAATGGTTTAAAAACAAAACTCCATAGCCTGCTTTTAGGCAAATAAATTAAAATGCAATTCATCTTTGAAACCTTCGCGTCTTATTAATTTATACATTTTCTTAAAGATATGTAGGTGTTTTTCTTTCCCTGTGCAGATCCCTCGGCTTGAGTGAGTGATTACAGTTGCTCGCCGGACGGTCGCTCCAACAGGTTACCCATGGGAAATCTTACAAGAGTCGGGGAGAGAA